GCGCTTCCGCAAACAACTACCGACCAGTAAGCCTCACCTCCATATGCTGCAAAGTTATGGAGCGAATAATCAAACGCGAACTGATGCGGTTTTTAGAGCAAAATCATCTTCTGTGCGATGCACAGCACGGTTTCCGCAGAGGGAGGTCCTGCTTAACCAATCTACTCTACTGTCTTGAACAGTGGACCCGAGCGATTGATGAAGGAAACGTTGTGCATGTGGCCTACATAGACTTCAAGAAGGCATTTGACAGCGTGCCACACCAACGTCTCCTACACAAGCTCAGCCGCATAGGGGTAAGAGGCAAGCTTTTGAAGTGGATTGAAAACTTTTTGGTCGGTCGGTCCCAGACTGTTCGTCTTGGTGGCCAGCACTCGGCAGAGGTGACGGTTACGAGCGGAGTACCTCAGGGCTCCGTTCTTGGCCCTATCCTCTTCCTCATCTATATTGATGACTGGATCCATGGATTGGACTACAAGATTGCAATGTTTGCTGACGATATAAAACTTTGGACCGTCACCCGCAACGAGGACGATGAAGCAAATTTACAGGCAAACTTAGACCGACTCGAAAAATGGTCAGGCCACTGGCTCCTCCCATTTAATGTTACCAAATGCAACATTCTGAGGATTGGCAGAACCAGCTCTGCGCACCGGCAGACGTACTATCTAAATCACACACCGCTGCCACTGGTAGAGGTTGAGAAAGACCTAGGGGTGTGGATAACATCTTCACTAAAGCCATCATTCCACTGCTTGAAAGCAGCGAAATCTGCAATGTCCAGCTTATATCTCATCAAGCGGGCATTTGCCAAGTTCGATGAAGAGTGCTTCCGCAAGGTCTTTGGGATATTTGTGCGCGCACAGTTAGAATTTGCCATTCAGGCCTGGAGACCCTGGACTGTTAAGGATCTTACCACCCTCGAAAAAGTCCAACGACGGGCAACCAAGCTTGTCAGAGGTCATAAAAACCTACCTTACGAAACCAGACTTTCAAATCTTAACCTCTTTCCCCTGGACTACAGACAACTCCGTGGTGACTTAATTCAAACGTTTAGAATGTTACGGGGTCAGGACTGCTGCCTCGCATCCGGCGACTTCTTTGAGCTGGCCACCACTACTAGTTTGAGAGGACACCCTCTGAAACTACGTGTGACAGGAGCGAGACTGGACGCAAGAAGGTCCTTCTTCAGCCACAGAGTGGTAAAGGCATGGAACGCCCTACCTGTGGATGTCGTCATGTCCTCATCCGTGGACTCATTTAAGAGAAAGCTTGACCAGTACAGGGATATGTACCTCCACAGCATCTGAAACTAACGAACCCCCCCCCCTGTGCCACCCGTCCTATCCAACGTTTTATGTTAAAAATCATGCTACTCCCTATATTTTAGTAACATTACGTTTTACAATTTTCGCTATCTCCCGACCGCCACATATGCGCTTGCTTTGATATTACTTGGTCCATTCATTGCCGTACTGGATATTGTACAATCTTGACACAGAAGGCATTCACAGACAAATTCATACCAGTGACCAATGCTTGTTGTATGTAATTACTTACCTAATTTTTTTCACACTTGCCTTACACATTGTTTTTTATGTCGTTATTGTAACCAAAAGGGAGTTCAAAGGCGTTCGCCTACTTTTCCCTTGATAAATCTGATCTGATCTGATAATACCTTTACCATATGGAATTCATACTACTCGTAGTACTACTTGTTTGTAGAATGGGCATTACGTGGTTATTCCACAGTAGTTGATTGTCTTCGACTCAAATGTTCATTGAAGTTTCGGTTCTGACCCTAAAAAGTCATGTCCCGGAGATTTAAATCCAAGTTCTGCACTGATTAATTTCTGAAATTATTCACCTGATATATAAATATATATATATATATATATCAGCGAGGAGAGACGACAGAGAATGCGGGTAGATTGATACAGCACTGTTTCGGGCTTATTCGGCGCACAGCGGCGCATGATACATAGGCAGAATGGCATTACCGACAAAGACAAGGGAGACTGGAATGGCCATTTCTGGCTTATTAGCCGTCGTCAGCCAGCCATACCCAAGCCCGAAGTGTGGAACACCCGAGCCTCGAACTCGCGACCTGTTGGTTTAGAAGTCAACGCCTCTACTCACCGGGCCACGAGCCCGTTGCCTTGTCGGTTTTCGATCGGGAATATACAATGGTAGGGAGCGCTCACCGATCGTTCATACGGAACTCACTCGTTCCGTTGTGCCTTAAGGACTCTCTCTCGAGCCCAACCAGCAGCCGCACAGCGGCGCATGATACATAGGCAGAATGGCATTACCGACAAAGACAAGGGAGACTGGAATGGCCACGGGCTCGTGGCCCGGTGAGTAGAGGCGTTGACTTCTAAACCAACAGGTCGCGAGTTCGAGGCTCGGGTGTTCCACACTTCGGGCTTGGGTATGGCTGGCTGACGACGGCTAATAAGCCAGAAATGGCCATTCCAGTCTCCCTTGTCTTTGTCGGTAATGCCATTCTGCCTATGTATCATGCGCCGCTGTGCGGCTGCTGGTTGGGCTCGAGAGAGAGTCCTTAAGGCACAACGGAACGAGTGAGTTCCGTATGAACGATCGGTGAGCGCCCCCTACCATTATATATATATATATATATATATATATACTGATAGTATCCTGGTTCACAACTTCTCCTCTCGTCATCTCACGCAGCAACAGCTGGCGGTTTTGTCCTATGACACTAAATTCAACACGAGAGATGCTCGACCAGAACACTTCATCGCATCCTTCGAGTCAGCGCTCCAGAAGTGTGAGGCAAACGAAGAGTGCAAAAATTCCATGCGGCAACAAGTGTCAACCCTTCTCCTCCGGCACAAACCTCAGAGGGCGATTTCCGAAACTGAAGACCAAGAGCTTCTGAGAATTCGAAGATGAGGGATATTGTCACCCTGCCCGCCGACAAGGGACGCTCGACTGTTGTCATGGATAAGACTGATTACACGACGAAGCTGCAAAGTCTGTTGGAGGACGAAGGTGCCTATGAGCTTTCGGAGACTGGAGAGTTCAAGAAGCACGTGAATAGCGTAAACAGGGCAATAGATAAGTTGAGGAAGGCAGGAGCCCTCAAAAGAAATGAGGCATTGGCGGCAAAAGCCACAGATGCCGCCATGGCGCGTTTCTACGGCCTGCCAAAATTGCACAAGCCAGGAGTCCCCCTACGCCCCATAGTCTCCCTACGCGGCACCCCGACCTTTGGACTCTCAAAATGGCTTTACCAACGGTTTCGTTTCCTCACCGAGGGCTCGGAATGGACGGTGAAGTCGGCTGAAGAATTCCTGAAAAGCATCAGAAACCTAGAAATAGAACCAGATGAGATGATGGTATCGTTTGACGTGGTCTCATTATTCACGTCCATTCCAACCGCCCTCGCCATCAGCACAATTGACGAGCTTCTTCAGGAAAAGTATGATGACGTTGACCAACAACTTAAGCGAACGCACATCACTGAACTCCTGGAATTGTGCCTCAGGACTTTCTTCACTTTTGGCGACCGGGTTTACGAGCAGAAGAAGGGAACACCGATGGGATCCCCCCTGTCTGGGTTGATCGCTGAGGCCGTTTTGCAGAGGCTAGAACGACTAGTCTTCCGTTCGTACTCCCCAAAATTCTGGGCCAGATATGTCGACGACACATTTGTCGTAATCAAGAGGAACGACGTTCAGAACTTCAAGGTCTTACTGAACTCAATATTCCCCGACATCCAATTTACAATGTAAGAGGAGAACAACAACCAATTGCCTTTCCTCGACGTGAATGTTGCAAGGACGGTTAGTGGGAGGATAAGAACTACGGTATACCGTAAGGCGACGAATACCAGACGCATCCTCCAATTCCGAAGCAACCACCCTATTGGTCACAAGCGAAGTTGTGTGAGAACTCTCTTCCAACGAGTTCAAACACACTGTAGCGACGACGACGGGAAAAAGGAGGAGACAAAATATCTACATGCCTTATTCATAGCCAATGGTTACCCACGATCCTTCATACGTGAGTGCCGACGAAAGACTACCCGTCAGCGATCAGACGATGAGAAGCCGAAGTTTTGGCTGGCGATCCCCTACGTGAAGAATGTTTCCGAGGCGACAGCTAGAATCCTAAACCCTTTTGGGGTTGGGGTGGCCCATAAACCGGAATCCACCATCAGACAGCAGATAATGAGACCCAAAGACCCGCTACCGGCAACGGAACAATCAGCAGTGGTCTACAGCATACCGTGCCAAAATTGCAATGCACGGTATGTTGGTGAAACGGGGAAACGCCTCTGCACAAGGCTGCATGAGCACCAGCTTGCAGTCAACCATGAGGGTAAACTGTCACTGGTATATGGCCACATGCAACAGGAGAAACATAATTTCGCCTTTGGGGAAGCAAGCGTCCTCAGTCGAGCCCATGACAAGATGGCTAGGCTGGTGCTCGAAAGCTGGTCCTCAGTTGGCACAATCAACAGGGCTATTGATCTTCATCGGCCTACCAGGCGCTGCGTACAAGACTCCAGTCAGTCCAGACGGGGCCGACAGTACTGGCGAGCGAGTCGCGGCTCCTCCAACAGTTGTCACCTTCACAGCAGGGGGAAGGAGCCAGCCGGAGGTCACACGACGAACGCGAGACATCGACCCACCGGCGCGCCCAGACAGCCGAGCGTGATTCGCACATGCAACGGCAACTGATCAGTCCATCCGATTATGAGGTGAGGGCCCATGGGCACACAGGACTGGCAGCGATTACGACAGCCGGTCAGGGGGCAGAGGTCACAGGAGCGCGTCATTGGCCGCCCGCGGAGGAACCAAAGCCAATCCCCAGCCAGAAGGCAGGTCAGAGTTCGTGAGTCAGGCATGCTTATAACACAAGACAGGCGGCGAGGCAGAACAACTTCGAACAAGCAGGAACAGACACCACACCACTCTGATGATGGAAACGAGGATGTTTCCGAAACGTCAGCACCAATACACTGTGGTCCATGCAATCGCCCCTTTTTCTTCTTCGTCTTCTTTTGGGGATGATGAACGGGATAATTTATCAGGACCTCGAATATTTACTCATGTTGATATATATATATATATATATATATAGTGGTTGTGGGTGCTCACCGATCGTTCATACGGCACTCACTCGTTCCGTAGTGCCTTAAGGGCTCTCCCTCGAGCCCAACCAGCAGCCACACAGCGGCGCATGATATATAGGCAGAATGGTATTACCGGCAAAGTCAAGGGAGACTGGAATGGCCATTTCTGTCTTATTAGCCGTCGTCAGCCAGCCCTTCCCAAGCCCGGGGTGTGGAACACCGGAGCCTCGAACTCGCGACCTGTTGGTTTAGAAGTCCACGGCTCTACCCACCCGGCCACGAGCCCGTTGCCCTGTCTGTGCCCCGTTGCCCGATCAGTGAGCGCCCCCTACCACTGTATATTCCGATCGAAAACCAACAGGGCAACGGGCTCGTGGCCCGGTGGGTAGAGGCGTGGACTTCTAATCCAACAGGTCGCGAGTTCGAGGCTCGGGTGTTCCACACCTCGGGCTTGAGTATGGCTGGCTGACGACGGCTAATAAGCCAGAAATGGCCATTCCAGTCTCCCTTGTCTTTCTCGGTAATACTATTCTACCTATATATCATGCGCCGCTGGCGGTCAATCTAAACCATTACCAGTACACGAAAACGCAAAGCAATTGCACTTATTCTACTCAAAATGCGACAGGGCGGACGAGCCAAACCGTAGTGATACCTTGCTATTCCCCTTATAATAAATTCCTCGAATCTGAAGGCCTTCATTCTCTGGAAATAAACATACCCCTGAGATGGATGTCACTTGCGTACCTCTATAAAACACTATTCTACGATAGTGCCAACTTGCTTTTTTGGAGATGAGAAGACGATATACTTTCCTCTATTTGTTCCTCCTCCTCTTCCTCAAAAAATAACTTCCCAGGACAGCATGAACAGCATTCTGGGGGGTCTCAGCACTGCTGCTCTTTCGCCAGCTCAGAATAAAACCGACTTCTTCGATGATGAGCGATTTTTGTGCCTAAAGTCAGGTCGTCAAAATATCGTTCAAGGAAGATCTGGAATAAATGAGATAGAGAAGTTACGGCTCTGATTTTATATGTCGCGATAGGGTAATTGAATAGAGACTCAAGTGAATTTCCTGTGATCGGAGAGGAGCCCAAAATACTGAAATACGTTTTCGATTACGAAGGATTACTTAAGCGGTGTTGTAAAATTGATTATCCCGCGGCATAATCCCATAGTATTGTGAATGCGTTAGGCGTTCGGCTTTTGAATGTGCTTATTTTCAACCCCATTCATAAACCCACTCGGTAAAAAGGTGATTACTTAAGTAATATGCATGTTTTTCCACTGAATTTTGATAGTCTTGTAAATTCAGGAGTATTTTGTAAAAAACATGCACAAGAACATGGCATCGTTCACTCTTTTGGTGGAAAATCACATTGTCGTTTCATCTTATATTCTAAGAAAGGTTATGTTTTGGTTCTAAAAATGTCGCTAATTATGAGATTTTTAGGATCGTGCGATGTCCACACATACAACATCGCACATGTCCATTTGCTTTTGGTCTTCATGACGTATACGACACAGTCCACATCCATTGCAAAATTTTCTGAACTCTATATGGTATCTTCGTAGAGACACTGAGTAATATACGATTTTCATTAGGCGGAAAACATGCACCATGTAGACTGAAATCGCCAAACCATAGTGTTGACGGCTGATATGCCTCAAAATTGTTTAGGAATTAGGAAAACTTCCCAAAACCTAAGTCTGCACCTTCTTCAGGTATAAACTGTGAAGACAATATGATTTTCTAACAAACGGAAAAAATAAATACATTGGAATATACAAGACCATCGAAAATCCATGTGAAAAATGCATGCAAATTAAGTAGTCATTTTCTACCGAGTGGTTTTCTACGTCGAAAAGAAGTACATGCAAAAGCCTACATACTGGCGCGTGATTATGCCGCATGATAATCAATTTAGAACCCCATTTCAGTAATCCTTCCTAACCGATAACGAATTTCATAATTTCGGCCAACATTTCAGGAGATCGGTCAGGCACAGTATTTACTTTGATGACGCTATTTGTTGTTAATTAGACTCTGCAATCCACTACAACAAAATTCGTGGACAATAGTGGAGTTCGGCCGCGGCGGCACAACCGGGCAGGCCTATTTATGGTGACACTTCTCGCCCAGAGGGGGAGGGGCTAGAGAAGGTGCAGGGGAACCACGTCGTCTGCTGGCTGACCGTGGTCGCAGACTCTAAACTCACGGTCGAAACAACACCACCACCAACTACAAAAACAACAATACGCTCTCCCTCTTCCTCCTCCTGCCTCTTTTTCCTCGTCTGCATCGTATTCTTCTTTTTCTTCTCTCCCTCCTTCCCGCCGCCCCACTCGCCAGTCTGGCAGGTTGAGCCCGCCCACTCTGGCAGCCTGAAATGTACGTTCCCTTTTAGACAATCCGAGAAGCGACCGACCGGAACGGACGACAGCGCTAGTGGCTCGGGAACTGGCGCGCGAGACCCGGTTTCCCGAACAAGGTCAACTGGAGGAGATGGGTGCCGGTTACACCTTTCTCTGGATTGGTCGCCCCAGGGCAGAGCGACGTGACGCGGGTGTCGCCTTCGCTATCCGTAACGACATCGTGGGACGATTGCCCCGTCTGTCACAGGGCATCAACGATCGCCTGATGAGCCACCGTCTGCCTCTCCGCAAAGCGAAATTCGTCACCATTATCAGCGCCTACGCTCCGCCGGTGACCAACCCTGACGCCGCAAGAGACAAGTTTTACGAGGACCCGCACGCCTTCCTGGGTATGTGTCAAAGGCGAACAGGTTGATTGGCCGTTCGCGTCTCCTTGCCCTCCTCCTCTGTCACGCTGCATTTCTGTCCGCCTCACACTCCCTGTCAAGTCGCTGCTGAGACGCGCGTGGCTTGTCACCAGCCTCGCGAGTGCTCCCGGCTAACGGACGCGGAGACAACGAAAAGCGCATACACGCCCTGGGTCTCAGCACCTCGAAGGCGGACACAGACAACAACTGGCCTGGAGAGCGCGCTTGTGGCGATTGCCCACAGAGCCTTTGTGCACCCACTTCCGGAACAGTAAAGGTTGTTCGACTCACTCCGTCCCCCCTGACTTTTGATTGGGAATCTTTGTCTTGTCGACTACTCTACTTTTGACAATAGGTGACTCCCTTGCGAACAGCCGTCTTCCTTCTTCCGAATCTACGATAAAGTCAGGCGTTTATAATGGACAATTTTCCACCGGAAGTGTAGCATATTTTAGCACCCGACTTCGGCGTTCTTTCGGCCACGCAACTTACTCAGATGGCCGATCGGCTTATGGAGATGCACGGTTTTTATAAACCATTTATTTCAGCACTCCCAACTTCCTCAAATCCTCCTGCGTCTCCCATTTCGCAGTTGGAGATCGAACTCAGCAAGCCCGCCGATGATATAACTTCTCTCCAGAAGCAGACAGTCTCTCCCTCATCTCGGAGCAAAACCGAAGCCGTCCACCCTGCTTGTCCAGTCTTCACATTCAGCACGTTCAAACGCAGCTGCCATCTGCTGGTACCACACCACATTTGGTGTTAAAACCCGTCACTGCATCTCTCCCTGCTCCTTCACCTTCAAGCAGAGCAAACGGGAAGGTCATTGCAGCCAATCTTCCCGACAGCTCTAACCATGGTCGCACATTTACGTCCGCGACACCCGGAGTTGCACACGTTTCTTGGTTGACACTGGTGCCCAGCTAAGTGTCATTCCACCCACACCAGCTGATCGTCGGTGCCCCAATCCCGGTTTTTTCCTACAGGCCGCCAACACTTCGCCAATTGCTACCTTTGGCACCTGCTCCCTCTCTCTGGACATCGGTCTTCGATGTCTTTTCCCCTGGGGTCTTCGTCGTCGCTGAGATCCCCTGTGCCATTCTCGGTGCAGATTTCCTCGGCGCTTTCGATCTTCCGGTCGACTGCCGTCAGTCACGTCTACACGACAAACCACCAACCTCACTGTCCGGGGTATCTTTTCCTCCGACGTTTCCCGTCAACTTGCTGTCTTGGACCCTGAACCCGAAAATCCATTTCGGCAACTCCTCGCCAAATACCCCGGCCTCACTCGTCCCAACTTCAACGCCTATATTCCACCACACGATGTTGTTCACCACATCCGGACCACTGGCCCTCCCGTGTTTTCTCGACTCTGCCGTCTCGCGCCTGCACGTCTTGCTGCCGCCAAGGCGGAGTTCGAACACATGCTTCAGATGGGCATCATCCGTCAATCTGAAAGCCCATGGGCCTCACCGCTCCACATGGTCCCAAAGGTCGCCACTGGTGACTGGCCCCCCTGCGGTGATAACACGGCCCTGAACAACATTACTGTCCCGGACAGCTACCCTGTCCCACATCTTCAGGTTACTGCCAGTGTCCATTCAGCAAGTCTGTGTTTTCCAAGATCGATTTGGTCCGTGCTTTCCATCAAATTCCCATCGCCCTAGAGGATCTTTCGATGACGGCCGTCACCACCCCATTTGGCCTCTTTGAGTTCCTGCGCATGACGTCTTGACTCCGCAACGTCTCACAGACCTTTCAGAGGTTCGTAGACAGAGTGCTTCGCGGCCTACCATTTGTCTGCGCCTATATCGACGACCTTCTGGTAGCTAGCTCCACCGCCTAAGAACACATGGAGCATTTGGCAACGGTGTTTGACCACCTTCAACAAAACTGCGTTGCTCTCAACCCGTCTAAGTGCGTCTTCGGTGTTTCCTCCCTAAAATCTCTCGGGTTGCGGCCACCCGTGATTTCCCTCCCTCCCTCCTCCTCCTCCTCCTCCTCCTCCTCCAAACGTCAGCTGCAGCGAATTCTGGGTATGGTTAATTTCTACCGCCGGTTTCCGCCGTACTGTGCCGACACCATCCTGCCGACTACGAACATCCTCTCGGGTCCCAAAGGTTCGTTCGAGCCGTCTGCAGACCCCCTCACTGCTTTTGATAAAGTGAAGGCTGCCCTGGCCGACGATATCCTCCTGACCCATTTTTCTCCCGATGCTCCCATCTTCCTCATGGTTGACACCTCCAATGTTGCAGTAGGCGCGGTTCTCCAACAGCACCTTGCAGGTCGCATCCAGCCCTTAGCTTTCTTCCCCAGGAAGTTATCACCTGCCGAGACGCGCTATAGCGCATCTGGACGAGAGCTCCTTGCTGTCTTCCTTGCTGCGAAACACTTCCGGCACTTTATGAGGGCAGGAACTTCACTGTCTTCATGGTTTGCAAGCCCATTTCGTTAGCTCTCAAGTCCACGTCTGATAAGCTCAACCCCCGAAAAATTCGCCAACTGGACTACATCTCACAGTTTACCTCAGACATCTGCCACATCGACGGGTCACGCAATGAGGTGACTGACGCACTGTCCAGGCCCTCCATCGCACATTACCAACTCTCACCCGGGATCGATCTAACTAAGATGGCTGCCGAACAGCGCCGTGTCGATTCACCCTGTGATGAGGATGTTTCCAGACTCCAACTTCAGGAACTACCACTAACAACTGGGAACGACACCATTTTATGCGACGTATCCACCCCTTCCAATCGTCCATTTGTGCCACCATCTCTCCGCCCCAAAGACTTCTCCTCCTTGTACAACTTTTCTTAACCTGGGAGTTGAGAAACCGGCAAACTGGTTCCCGACCGCTTCGTCTGGCCTGGAGTGCACAAGGACCTGAAAGCATGGGCACGGGCGTGTCTCGGCTGTCAGCGGAATGAGGTCCAACGGCACAACAAAGCTCCCAGTGGCACCTTCCCTACCCCGGACGCACAGTTCAGTCATGTTCACCTGGACATCGTAGGCCCCTGCCTCTTTTCATTGGCTGTTCCCATCTCCTTACCTGCGTGGATCGATTCACCCGGTGACCGGAAGCTAGTCCCCTTGCCTGTCACTGCTGCTCAAACGGTGGTCAAGGCTTTCCTCACTCGTTTGGTTGCTATCTTTGGTGCATCCTCAACAATCACGACTGACCGTGTTGCCCAGTTTGAGTCTAACCTCTTCCAGTCTTTGCTCTACTTTTTAGGCCGTACCCGCATCCGGACAACAGCCTATCACCCGGCTGCTAACGGGATTGTCGAGCGTTTACACCGTCAACTGAAGGACTCCCTACGCGCCGCGGCCGATCCGGAGAACTGGACAGACCACCTTCTTCTGGGCATCTTGGGCATCGGCTCCGCTCTTAAGCCGGATATTGACTGATCCGCAGCTGAACTGGTGTTCGGTGCCACCGTTCGACTCCCCGTTGAGATGATCTCGCCAACCCCGCGAGGTGCAGTTAAGGATCCCACCAACCTCCTGCATCGCCTCCGGCAGTTTTTGTGGACACTTTCTCCGGTTCCTCCCAGGTCATCCGCCTCTCCGTCCTATCTTGAGAAGGACATGGCAACGTGCTTTCACGTCCACCTTCGATGTGGTCGAGTCTGCCGGCCCATTTTGGATGCTCTCTCGCGGGAGGAAGACTGTCTGCATTCAACGCGACAATCGTGAAGATGGCGTAAGTGCGGACCGCCTCAATGCTGCCGTCCCGGACACTCCTCTGGATGAGCCATGTGGTCCTCTACCTTCTGCTTCCCCACCTGCAGCTGCTATTCCACCGTCCCGTATTTCCCTGTTCCGACTGCCACCACCAACTCCAACACTTCCGCCACCAGATATATTCACTCTTCTACGGATCCTGTATATATCACTTG